AAAAAAAAAAAAAGACATGGACCCGTATAAGGCCCTGGACTCTCCACCTCTTCCAACACTCCCAGATTCGCTGCCACCTGGGCCCTTGCCCAAGTGCCTACCTTACCTGTCCACTGGCAGAGGTTGGTCTTCGCTTGGAGGTTGCCAGACCAGGTGGTGATTTCCAAAACATACTCACTGCCTGGCAAGAGGTTGCCAAGATTGTAGGACAGGGTGCCCGGGGGAATGGAGACATTATGTGCCAGTGTCTGGGATTCCAGGTGGTAGAGAAGTTGGTAGCCATCCTGCTTCCCAGGGGCATCACCCCATGAGGCCTCCAGGCTGGAAGGACTCCCAGGGCTGTGGAGCTGCAGTTCATGGACAGTTGACAGGGCTGCACCAGAGGTGAGAGAAGCACCAAGATCAGCACCAAGGTGGCATCACCACCTGCTTGTGGTGCTCCTAAATGGGTTACAGACATGGTCTATGGAGAAGCTGCCCCCTTTGGATCTCCTGCCTGCCCTCCTGGTCAACCCCCTCCCACCCCGACCCCAGGCAATGACTCCTCCCTCTCAGCCTGCAGGTGTCATACCAGTGCGGGCAGTACGGGTGACAGTGACATCCTGCCCACAGGGCCGCAGGGCAGTCACTTCCAGCTGGTAGCCACTCCCTGGCACCAGGTCCCGGAACTCAAAGCTGGATGCATTGGTGCGGGCCTGAAGCGGCTGCCCTTCAGGAGAGCCGAGGGGGCTGAGACGCATGAGGCGGAGGGCATGGTCGAAACTGCCTGGCTCCGGGGCTGCCCAGCTCAGAAAGAGGCTAGTAGGGCTCCCCTGGCTGCTGATGTTCACCTTTGGGGGTGGGCCTGAAGAAAAGGGGGTGCGTTCAGGATCTCCCAACACCCTTTTTGCCCTAAGAAAAGAGGGAAGGTCCAAAGAAAGGGCTGGAGCAGAGGCAGGAGCTGGTGTGGAAAAATTGGCCCTGAGCCCTCCACACCTCACCCCCTCAGACCTCTCTCCCCCACTGAAAGCACCTACCTCCACTCTTCCTGCTGGACTCCCTTCCAGGGAGTGGCATGCCTCTTCCTGTAGGAGGGAAGGAAGCAGAGAGGGGAGGATATGGGTAGAGGCCTCTGAGGGCCAGGCCTCTGAGAAAGGTACTGGGGGACAGGGCCAGGATCTGAGAGAAGGCTCTCCCCTTAGATGACAACCACACACAGTCTAAGGGATATCTGGAGGCATGACCAAGGTGCAGGAGGCAGCCCCAGGCAGGCTGGAGCAAACTGTTCTCGCTGTGTGCCGGCCCAATGAGAAAGGAGCAGCCTCCCTTCTCGCCTAATGCAGACCGGTTATGGAGTCCAGGGAGCGGTGGGAGCCCTGGACATGCTCTGGAGAGCAGGGACCCCATCCCACCAGGCCTGTCCCCCATGGCCACCTTACCTTAGCCAAAAAGCCCCGGAGCCAGAGGAGGACAGCAAACAAGAGTGGGGGCTTCATCTCGATGTCTGCAGAAGAAAGATTGGGAGGCAGCAGGGGGAGGAGCCATCCCCCCCCCTGCCCCCTGCCCCGCTGGCAGGCGGTCAGGCAGGCAGGCAAGGGTGGGAAGGGCAGAGTTTCAAGCAAACACCCCTGCAGTCTGCAGGCAGCAAGGGGCTGACTCTCAACCCCAGACCCTGACCTCCCACCCCGCCCAGCCTTGGCAAGTCTCCTGAGGAGAAAGAGGCGGGGAATGGCTTTAGGCCCAGAAGGTGGAAGGAGACTGTAACTCTCAGACTGCAAACAGGCCACCTCCTCCCTCTGCCTCCTCCACCTCCACCCCACCTCCAACAGCTGGCTCTCTAGGGAGGAAAATACCCTGTACTCTTGAAGAAGACCAAGAGGAGAGATAGCCTTGCAAGTGCACACACATAGCAGAGGCAGCATGTTCCCTGACCCTGGAAGAGAGGCGTGGTGTCTGTTGACTTCATCAGCATGAGCAAGATAAGGTGTTTGTGTTTCCGTGGGGGTGTATGTGGTCTTAGTGACATCATGTGGATGTGTGTTCCTGTGTCCTGGGTGGATGGACCAACTGACTGTGTGTCTCATTTTCTGTACCCATGCAGCATGGCACCATGCTCTTGTAGACAGAGGCACAGAGGCACATCCTTTGGGCCCCAGTCACAGCATTTGTGGACCTAGAGCCCACCTGGTCCTTGCACTCGTCTGGTCCCACACCCTCACTGCCCAGATGAGGAAGTTGATATCCAGAGAAAGGAAGAGCCCCACCTGAGGCCCCACATTTGTGAGCAGAGAAAATGAACTTGAATCTGGGACTTTGGTGTTCGTAGAGCAGAAAAGGCAAACCCTGTTCTAAACACCCCATATCGGGGTTCTTTTAGCTTGGAACCCTTTGAGGAGCAATTCCAGTCCTTGGAATTTTTGCTTGCCTTCCTCCACTTCCTCCATCTAGAGCAGCGGTGACCACCCTGGCTCCCCTATCCCCTCCCAGCCCCCATCTAACTGCAGGCACCACAGAGGCCCAGGCAAGCCTGCCTGAGGCCTGGCCTCGGAGACATTGAACTTGAGGCTTTGCTGCACTCCATCCTGGAGCCAGCTAGTCACCTTGAGCTGCTCACCCAGATGTTCCCACCCCAAGGGCAAGAAGGAAGGAAGGACAGAAAAAATGGCTTTGGGCCCTGGGAAGGAAGCCCAGGACTCAGAGCAAACTCTGCAAGTGGGGAGGAGACAGTGTGAAGAAACAGACAGGTAGAGAAAGTCTGAACACGAAGGCAGCTTCTGAGGGAGATTCTCCTGGGCCTGCCCCGGCAGAGGACAGGGCTGCATCAGAGTCCAGCTCAGCCTGGTTCTCCACTCAGGCCAGAGCCAGGGGCTGCCTGCTCCTCCCCCACTCACCCGGTCCCAAACCTCAGAGCCGCCCACCCGGCCCCTGGATGGAGGCCTGGAAACTCAGCACTGCAGACTCAACAGATTTTCCAGTCTTAGTGAGTGTGTGTATGTGTGTGTGTGTGTGTGTGTGTGTGTGTTTGTGTATACATACACACACATGCTCTTTTGAAAGAAGCGGGAGTGGGGAGTATAGCAACTAGGGAAACTGATGTGAAAGAGGAGAGGTCCCAGGTCCCAGTCTGATGGGGGGGGCATCCTCCCCTCATCCCTCCCTCATCCCACCTCACTTGGGGACACCTCACTTTGTTGCTTCTGGCAGAGCCTTTATCTCCAATCACCAAGGGGAGAAGAGGGGTGGAAGCACCCTACTTCAGAATCTAAGTAGAAGAGGTGCACAGGACAGAGGTTTAGGCAAAGGAGGGGGGTCTCAGAACCTGCCAAAGCTCCCCACAAGAGGCCTGTGGGGCACAGCACAGACTCCATGGAAAGTTCCCTGGACAGAGCTCTGAGGAGGCACCTGGCTGTAGACAGCACAGCTGCCAGCCCCCACCCAGCCTGGGGCAGTCTTGGGGATGGGAGCGAGAGCTCCAGAGAGGATGCAGAAAGGTTCTGACAAATAAGAAGCAGCCTCCCTTACCCAAGCCTCTCCATTAGCAATAAAGTACCACAAGCGCTGTATCTCCTCCCCAGCAAACACCCCCACAGACAAACCTACATCCTCTCCCTAGAGAACCCCTGGGGTCCTCCCGAGGTCCCAAAGCACCTTATTGATTCCTTCTGGAGAGAGCCAGCCAGGAGAGAGAGGAGGACATGGGACTAGTCCGGGCGTCCTGGGCCCAAATGTGAACTGGCCTGGTCTTTCCCTGCAGTTAGCCTTCCCAGGCAGCTTTCTTCCGGCCCCTCCCTGTTCTCCCACAGCCTGAAGCCAGGCCTTGGGCAGCCCCCACACTGGAGGAAGATAATCACCAGGCAGGAGAGGGACAGAGTGGCTCAAGACAGCCAAGCCGCCCACTCCCCCTGCTTTTCGTACTCTGGAAAAGGTGGCCGGGGAGCGGGGAGACCTAGGTCCCCCTGACCAGGCAGTGGGAAAGCAGCAGAAGGGCTGGGCAAGCGTGGGTTGACTGTGTGTGTGTGTGTGTGTGTGTGTGTGTGTGTGTGTGTGTGTGTGCGCGCGCGCGCGCGCGTGCATGCATGTGCGCACTCATGTGGGCCATAAGGATCCCTATGCCACCTGGGTGGGCACAAGGGTGGGCGTCCAGGGACAACACAGAGTGGGAGGGAAACAGGAGCCCCTGGGCAGAAAAGACCATGTTATTGAACAGATGTCCATTCTGCTGGCTCTGGACTTGGGAGAGAGGCCCCTCTTTTGCCCTAAATCCTTCCTGCCAGCACCCTGAGTTCCAGCAACAGGCAAAGAGCCAGGCTCTTTCCTGGAGCTCGCAGCAGGCTAGTCTGGCCCCCAGTGCTGAGCAGGCCTGGGTCTCTGGTATGTGGAAGTTCCCCTTCACCAGCAGGCACCCAGAGGGTAGCAGGAGGGAAACTGGGTCTTGGAGGGCCCGGCACAGGGGTGCAGTCCTGGAAGAAAGAAGACCAGAGGCACCCACTTCCTCCTCAGCCTTCACACCAGCTGGCCCTGACCCGTTCCCACGCTTATCATGGCACTTCTCTGCCCCACTCACCATGATTCCTCTGGTGTCTTCCTGCCTCTTCCTGGATGAAGCTTCCCAGATCCCAGTTCTCTGTGTTTCTGGCTCTCCCACATAAGCTGGGATAAGCCTGGACCCATAAAGTAGGGGCAGAACAAGCCGGCTGAGACTGGCCCAGGATCTCAGGGGTGGGAGGACTCTGGAGCAGCCACTTAGAATCCTGGGCTTCTCCAGAGAGGAACTGAGGGGGCAGCAGGGACAGGAGCAGAGCAGGTGGAGCGTGCAGGACCCAGGAGTCCTGGCTCCCAGCAACTGACGCTTTCCCCAAGATCCTCCCTTGGGAATGTTATAGGGCGGCAGCCTTTGCCTATGAGGGTCAACAGCAGACTGGGAAGGAGCTCCCTGCTTCCTAAGGACTGCAGGGAGCAAGGACTTCTGGGAATTCCAGATATACGCTCCCCCTCCCACCAGGGGTTCTGACACTCACAGCCCTAGAATTTGGGAATCACTAGAGGAAGGAAACAACAGAGTCAGGACTTGTGTGGTCAGAGCTTGGGAGGGGTAAGGGCACCAGCCACAGCCTCAGATGTGACAAGACACATATCGCTCTGCACCAGCCCCTCTCCAGCCTGGCTTGGTGACTTGGGACGCCTCTTATTGCCCTCTCTGGAGTGGGCCCTGCCCCATCTGAGCTATTGGGAAACCCCTGGGAGTGATTCCCTGCAGAACTTCTTCACTGCTGGGGTGGAACTGCCCAGGCAGCCTGGTTTTGGGAGAAAGTAAGTGGTGAGGAGGAAGAGGGAGTCTGGTGAGAGGTGAGACCCAGCAGCCAAGGCCTCCTTGACCCTGATGCTCCTCCCAGGCCCACTCCGCCAGCCAATTTCTCTCAGGTTCTCCCTTCTCCTGCTGGTGTGAGCAAAGCGCTTCAGAGGCCTCACCGACTGACAGGGGAGGCACTTAAGGAGGGAGGAAGCTGAGGAGAAGGCTGAGGCTTGGGAAGGCTCGATAGCTTGCCCAAGGCCACCCAGCCAATAAACCACAGTTTAGATTCATTTCACATGGGTCTTTCTGGCTTCCAACCATTACTGCACTTTCTCTGGAGACAAGGGTGGCTAGAACCTAAATCCAACTCTGGAAGACAAATCAATTCAAGGGATGAAAGTTTGAGAGTTGCCTGGAACCATTCTACCACTGTGGGAAGTTTCTGGAGGGAAGAAGGAGTCACGCCCAGGGTCCTCCTAGCAGCCAGGATCAGTTAAAGCCCATTCCAGAGAGCACAGAGAGAGGCATCTCAAGCCACCAAGCCAGGCCGGGGAAGGGTTGGTGCAGAGCGGTAACTGGAGTTTTGTTCCATCTAAGGCTGGTCAGCGCCCTCCCCACTTTCAAGCTCTGGCCACACATCTCCATGGATGTCCAGACAGAAGGAGGCAAGAAGTGACAATCCCCTTCACCCCAAACCCACCCAAAGGGACCTGGGAGTCTGGCCTAAAACCCAACCTCTATCCCCACACCCGACGACCTCTCCCCTCCCGCAGTCTCCTGGCCCCAGCTTCCTCGCTCCCTGACCGAGAGCTCAGCTTCCAACTCTCGAACCATCATGGGACCCCAGCCTGTGGGGGCAAGCATGTGCTCACAGCCCATGCAGCTCGGACCCTGGAAACCTGGGGGAACTGGGCAGACCAGCATGGGGAGGGCTTTGCCCACTTCCTCCTCCCTACCCCTGTGGTATCCTAGCTTCCTGTTCGCGATAACAATCGACAGCTTGGCTCAGAGGCAGTGGCCCTCTTTCCATCCCCTCCTCTACCCTGAGGGTCCCCACGACCCACAGTGGAAACACTGGCTTGTGGGAGTCAGGTGAGGCAGAGGCCAGCCTTGGGTCACCGCCCACAAACATGTTAGGGATTCCCATGCTCCTCTCCTCTCCACCCCATCCTGGGCAACCCTTCCCCAGCCCTCATCGGCCTCCAACCCACCCCCCGCACAAAGGGGCACAGACCACATGGAAGAACTGACAAGAGTCAGCTGGCCATGGAGGGGAAAGGGAAAGAGCCAGTCCCTGTCTCCACTGCTAAGAGCAAAGGTGGGTGCTGAGAAGCCTCCTGAGCCCCAGAGGGGTATCTTGTTCTTCATCTCGACTGTCCCCCCTGGGCCAGCAGGCCAGCGCCCTCCCCACCGCCCCCTCCAGTGTACCTATCCCCTGTGCCTCTTGTACGCCATTCCTTTTTCGCTGTCACCACTTGACAGCTGAATCAGGAAAGGGGAGGAAGAGAGGGGATGCAGATTGTGCTTGTTGGGGGCTGGGAGGGGGAGGGAAGGGCATTTGGAAGGCTACAAGGTAAAAGGAGACATACTGTGAGCATGAACCGGCTGGGCTGCTGGCCAGCAAGGGGTCTGCTGAGGCCAGGCGGGGGTAGGGGCGTAGGGTGGAGTCTTGGACTTGGGTGCCGCTCCCCAGGCCCCAGGCATCCAGGCACCCCAGCAGCGGAGAGGACATGGGAGTCTCTTGGAGTGGAGGCCAGCGGCTGTCCACGATCTGTAAGTCTTCTGAGTAGATGTCAGAGTTCTTGGAGGAGGCCTGGAGCGGGGTGGAGTCCGGGAAAGCCCCTCAGACTCTCCTACAAGTTGTCTCTTCTTCCTGGTTGGCTGGGCTGTGCTCAGGCCGGTGGCATCTGAGAGCTGGGCTGTGGCCCAGTGGCTGGAGAGGCCCTTTTAGGCCAGGCCCTGGGCCCTTCCTCCCATGTGGAACATGGATTCTTGCCCCCTCTCTGCCCCTGCCCCAAGTCTGTGTCGCATCTGCTCTGGAAGACACAGGCTGTGCTTGGTCATGAATTCCCAAGACTTGAAGCCACAAGGGTTTCCAGGGAGAGGGCTCTGGGGCAGAAGCAGAAGAGCGGAAATAAACCTCTGGCCAGGGGCAGGTGGAGCAGGATAACCTTGGCTTCTCTGTGGGACAGCAGCCCTGCCTAGAGAGAAGGCAGAAAAGCTGGACGTGACAAAGACCCACAGAAAGAACGCAGCAGGAGGGAAGAGGATTTGGAAGCTAGGCGGTCAGGAAAGGCCCAGCGCCTTGCCCATTCCCAGGGAAAAGAGCCTCGGCCTGGAGGGACACAGCAGGAGGCACCCGACCCCTGGTGGCGGCAGCAGCAGGCACAGGAGGGTAGCAGGCAGCTGGGGTGTGCGTGGGTGGCAGCGAGGAGGGGCGGAGGGAGGAAGCTGGCTTCCTGGAGCCTTCTCAGCCCTCAAAGACAGACCGACAGACAGACAGCTGGCAAGAAGCAGCCTGGGCGGGCACAGCTGCTTCAGTAAGTACCGGAAGGGGGGGATGGCAGTCCTGTGACCCTGGGGTGGTGTGAACTCTGGGGAAATGGGAGGGCATCTTGGAAGAGGGGGTACGAGCGGGTGAGTTGGGTGCCACAATGCCTGGCTGAAGCATGGGTGCTGACAGGCCTGACGTCCCCGAGGCCAAGAGGGCAGGGAAGCCACAGGGAACTGCAAGGAGAGCAGAGGTGAACGGGCCCTCCTGTTGTGGGAGAACCTCTCTCCACCACTCACACCTGCGCCAGGCTCCATCTGTCCCCTCACCCCTGTCCCTGTGGGTGTGGCAATTCTAACACCTCCAGCCACCACCTTGGCCACTGTGACCCTGGCTCTGGAAGATAAGGACTGTCCCCCAAGAGGCGATGGTCCCACCACCTCCATGCCCCATCTCACGCCCCAGCTGTCGCCTCACCATGCGCTGTCGCTCAAGGGCTTGGTGAGGCCATTTCCTGTGACAGTTACAGAGGCGGGAGATGGGGGGGATGGGCAGGAGGCGGAAGGAAACACCCCCCCCAGCCTACCTCCCTGGATGGGGACCCCAGAAACCAGACATGAATTTGGGGGTAGATTCGCCCGCAGTTGGGAGAGGACCCTGGTAGGGACCTGCAGCCTGGCATGCCAGGATCCCGGACTGGCTCTAACCCTGCCGGAGGCCTCCAATTCCTTATGTGCTTCGATGGACTGCTGGTTAGGCCTCCGATGGTGTTAGGAGCCTTCTCCCTTCTGGAGAGAGCACATATTTGCCATTTCCCCCCTTGTCTTCTCTCACTCAGACCCCAGCTCAGAGCCCCGTGTACTTCTGTCTCTGGCCCCTCTCCCCTCTCTCTTCCTCCTTCTAGATTCCTTATCTCCATCCTCAATCTCTACCCTTCATCTTGCCCTTACTCCAGCCCCAAAATGCCTGCTGCCCCGGGTCTGGCCAAAGAGATCCCGTCCTTCCCATAGTGAAAATGAAGCCGCTTCTAGGGGAATAGAAGACACCCCCAGTGAAAACAGCAAAAAGCCAGCTTGGGTGTGGGAGCCTCCTCTGACCAATCAGGCAGGCTGGGGAACAGCCGCCAAGGGCCCTGTCTTTCAGGTAGACCTCATGGCAGAGTGAGCCTCCCTGGCCTGGCACCCCACCCCAGCATGGTCCAGGTCTGTGGGGGGCACTCCAGAGCACAGCCACCGACCTTGTCTTTGGAGGCAGCCATGACCCAGCCTCCGCCCGCCAAAGCTCCAGCCAAGAAGCACGTGCGGCTGCAGGAGAGGTGAGTTCTTTCTTGGGAGGGGTCCTGCCTTCCCTCCGTCCACCCCCCCAGCTCAGACCGCTGGGTCCAGAGAGCCGTCAGTTGTCCACTCCAGTCTGGAAGGAAACCCAGTAGTGCTCATTTGCAAGTCCTTGGCATGTCTGGAGCACAGGTTTTATGTCAACCCTCAGCTGCTCCCCAGATCCTAGGTTGGATTGAGCAGTCCCAGGGCAAGGCCAGAGGCCTTTGTAGTGCTGGAGACAGGCCAGAGCCTCAATAAAACCAGGATGGACACAGGTGGACAGAGGGATGGTACCATTGAATTCCAGGCTGCCCTGTCTGACTAACAAGGGGAGAAGGGCATACAGCAGAGGCCTGAATCCTTGAATTCACTGGGCCTCTGGGTTCAGGGTGAGACAAGGAGCAGCCTCCTCATAAGAAAAGCAAATAGTACTGGGTACTCACAAGCCTGGGTGGCTGTGCCTGCAGGCGGGGCTCCAATGTGGCTCTGATGCTGGATGTGCGGTCCCTGGGGGCCGTGGAACCCATCTGCTCAGTGAACACACCCCGGGAAGTCACCCTGCACTTTCTGCGCACAGCTGGACACCCCCTTACCCGCTGGGCCCTGCAACATCAGCCACCCAGCCCCAAGCAGCTGGAGGAGGAATTCTTGGTAAGAATCTGGAGTCCCCCTGGAGTTGCTCTGCCCTTCTATGCCAGAGGCAGCAAGCTGGCACATTCTCTCATGGGCACCGTGGACATGTCTCCTCTTAGGATCTCTTGGGAAAGGGAACTCTGGGGCTCAGGGGAGGAGGCTTCCCCCAGCTTCCCCTTCTGCTCCCCACCCCAACCAGGCCTATATGCTAATGCCAAGAAGGAATGACCAGGGCCCAACTGTTCTAGAAAAAGGCAGAAGGGAGCCAGGCACAGTGGCTCATGTCTGTAATCCCAGCATTTTGGAAAGCCAAGGCGGAAGGATTGCTTGAGCCCAGAGTTCAAGACCAGCCACCTGGCAACATGGCGAGACCCCCATCTCTAAAAAATAAAATAAAACAATGTTTTTAAAAAGACAGAAAGGGGTGGCAGGGGAGAAAAGGAGGCTGGGAAGGGGGATTAGCTGTTCACTCATGTCCTCCCCTGCCAGAAGATCCCCTCAAACTTTGTCAGTCCTGAAGACCTGGATATTCCCGGCCACGCCTCCAAGGACCGGTACAAGACCATCCTGCCAAGTAAGACCTGCAGCTGGGGCCAAGGGAGGTGGGCACCATCCCTGGGGCTGGAGAACCTGGGAAGGCAAGATGTTTTGGGAGGAGGACTACCTCCCCCAGAACATCTTCTTTCACAGAGAAATACCATCCCATGTACCAGCTGGGGAAAGAAGGAGCAATAATCACAATAATATTTGCAGATGTTTACTGTGGGCCAGGCACTGCTCTGAATCTTTCATATTCACTCATTTCTCACAATGATCCCATGAAGTTAGTTCTATGATATTATTATGCCCATTTTACAAATGAGGAAACTGAGGCATAGAAAAGTGGAAAAAGTTGCCCAGGGTCACACAGCCAGTTGCACCAAACCTTCTTCCTCATCTTCCTCCCAGTGAGAAATGCCTGATAATGGCTTGCAGCAGAAGAAGACCATCAGGAGGGTTCCCTAAGAGAGGACTTTGAGAAAGTCAGATGCAGGCAGGGTCGTGGCCGGCAAGAGGGCAGTGACAGGTCAGGGTGGGGGACACTAGGCCGTAAGGGTTGGCCCTGCAAGCAGACAGACGCAGGGCTAGCTCCTTGTATTCTTCAGTGGCAGGCATGGGGCCCTCAGACCATGAGGCCCTGGGAGCCTCTCCCTCTCCCTCCTCCCTCCCCCAGAGCAGCCTTATCTGACTCCCACTGGCCCTCCTGGCATGCCCTCTGCCTGCAAGGGTGGATCAAGGGGCTATAAGCACTCCATGGGGGGAGGAGGCAGTGGCCTTGTTATTGGCCTATTTCTAACCAGCCCTGCAGCCACCAGCAGGGAATGGGTCTCTTTGCCTGCAATTCCCCTGGTCCCTGAGTACCCTCTGTCCTCAAGCAGGCTGATAGGAGGAGAGCGAGTTTCCCCTCCTTTCCTCATAAGCTGCTACTTCATCCTTGTTTGGGCTTGATTTGGAGAGATCCCTCCCCCACAGAGGGAGAGGCCAATAGGCCCCGTGGCAAAGTGAAATCTGAGTTTTAGTCTCATTTCATGGCTGGATGATCTTAGGCAAGTGGCTCATCTGAATCCCATATTCACCACCAGAAAACAATTCTTCCTCTATATCTCTCTTTCCATTCCTATTCTAAACCCCTACTGATCTCAAGGCTAGAATATTATATCTCCCCATTGGTCTCTGCTGCTCTGCTCTCTTTTCTCTCAGGTCCACCCTGCATGCACCACTCAGCCTTCCCAAAGTATTGCTTTGATTGTATCACTCGCCTGCTCAAGACCATCCTGTGGCTCCCTCTTGTCTATGGAAAAACAATCCATGGGTATCAGGCCACCTGCCATCCAAGGCACTGTGAAGAGCACAGGGACACGCCTCTTTTGGACCTTTCTGGAATCTGCATTCATTAGTCACCTTTTGACCTCTGAACTCTGCTGATTTTTCCTTCCTAGATCCCCAGAGTCGTGTCTGTCTTGGCCGGGCACAGAGCCAAGAGGACGGAGACTACATCAATGCCAACTACATCCGAGTGAGTGGCCTGGCTGCAGTGGCAGTGTGGGGAATGAGGGGTGAGGGAGGGGGTTTGAAGATGTCTGAGAATGTCTTTCAGCCGTGGCTGGTGGTTCAGGCACCTGGGGTTCCCTCCTTCCTTGCTCCAAATCACTGCTGCCATAGCACTGCCAAGACAAGCTGGACGCTGAGCAGGTCCCAATCGAGAAAACAGAGCAGATGTTAAAAATATCCGGAGAGGCCAGGCTTGGTAGCTCAGTCTTTAATCCCAGCACTTTGGATTGCCTGAGCCCGCGGGTTCAAGACCAGCCTGGGCAACCTGGCGACACCTTGCCTCTACAACAAATCGAAAAATTAGCCGAGCATGGTGGCACATGCCTATAGTTCCAGATACTTGAAAGGCTGAGGCAGAAGGATCATCTGAGCCCAGCAGGTCGAGGTTGTGGTGACCATGAGCGTGCCACTGCACTCCAGCCTGGGTGACAGAATGAGACTCTGACTCAGAAAAAATCCAGAGACCACCTAGTCTCCTTAACGTACCCTATTACCCCACCCACACCAACCCTCTAAACGTGGCAGGAAGTCAGATTGCTAAACCCAATCTCTATCTAGCTTCTTGAGGGCTCCTGAGGCCTGCATGGCGATGCCAGAACTAAAGGGACCCCCCACTTCCCCACTTACCTTAACTGCCCCTCCAGTAGCCCCTCCGTGGAGATGGCTCGATTGATGTCAAATGCTAGGAAAGGTGGGCTCTCTACCCAGCTTCTGCTCATCTCTATTGGCCCTAAATTGGTATAATCGCGGCGCCCTCTCGTGGCTCAGAGTGGGTAGGGGTTCAGAGAGGAGAAATGGGGACATATGATCTTCCATTCGCCGGCCAAAAACAGGTGAACAGTGGTCTGGATTGCACCCTCTTCTTGAGGAGCAGGAAGCTGACCATCCTGAAGGGGTGGAAGACAGGATAGGGAAAGTGCGCTACGTTTTGCTACTAAATATATAAAAGTAACATGTAAAAGTGAAACTGTCATTGAACAAATATGAAACACTCTTTTGCTATTTTGTGCTGGAAGAGAGCAACAGGGGAGGAAGGGAACAAACATTTACAGAGCACTTGCTATATGCTAGACTCTCACTATAGTTTATGGAATTTAATCCACACCACCTTCCTGCAAGGTAGACATCAGTATGCCCAATTTACATATGAGAAAACGGATGCTTACAGAGGCTAGGTAACTGGCTTATAGTGGCACAGCCAGGAAACGGCAGAACAGGGAGCTGATCCACACTCCAGACTCCGTCTCCTTCCCACCATGTGGTTTCCGTGTTCATGCACGCGTGTGTGTCTATGTGTGTGTGTTCACTGGCCTCAGCCTGACCTCAACACCTGCAGAGTCTAGGATCTTTCTAGAGCTCCACTCTCACTGCTTCCTTTCCTTTCTCTGCTCATCTCCCCAGGGTTATGACGGGCAGGAGAAGGTCTACATTGCCACCCAGGGCCCCATGCCCAACACTGTGTCGGACTTCTGGGAGATGGTGTGGCAGGAAGAAGTGTCCCTCATTGTTATGCTCACTCAGCTCCGAGAGGGCAAGGAGGTAGGAGGCAGAGCCACAGTCCTAGCTGAACCCAGGAAGGGCTATGCCCCACACTCTCCCTACACATGCCAGGCAGCTCAGGACAAGAGGCTTCCCTGGGAGCTGGCTCCAGCTCACGCCGCTCAGAAAGGTCCCTGAGATACACCCCCAGGAGGCTGTTCATAGCCAAAGTATGGTGGCAAGCTCAAGAGGGCCAGGGCCAGTTGCTGAGCCCCCTGGTGAGGGTGGAAGATGGGGAGGGCATACCAGCCCTGTCTGCTGCCCCAGCCCCCGCTCCAGCTGACAGAACCTCCCCCTTCTGACTCCCAGTCCCTCCCTCCTAGAAATGTGTCCACTACTGGCCCACAGAAGAGGAAACCTATGGACCCTTTCAGATCCGCGTTCAGGACGTGACAGAGTGTCCAGAATACACCGTGCGGCAGCTCAGTATCCAGGTACCACCCCTGGGACCAGGCCTAGCCCACAGGGAAGCTGGGCCACCCTCAACATCTCTGGAACTCAAGCCCAATCTTCACTAGGAGCAAAACGTTTACTTACCTAAACTTTCTTAAACTCTTATCTGAAAGAAGTGCTTGAGCCACAGAAGAAAGAGAAATTGGATGCTGTCCTCAGGGAACCTCTAGCCTAATAGGGCACAGCCAAAAGCCCAAATAGGAACCAACAGGAAGTACCACCCATGTGTGTTGAATGGTGCAGGTGAGGAGAGGTGGAATCCAGGAGCAGGAATCCAGGATCTTGAGAAGCAGGAAGAGATGAGGAAAAAGTTGAAAGCCATGTATGTGTAAAAGTGCTTTAAAAATGTCTTCTAGAGTCTGGGCATAGTGGCTTATGTCTGTATTCCCAGCACTTTGGGAGACCAAGGCCAGAGGATTGCTTGAGCCCAGGAGCTCAAGACCAGCCTGGACAACATGGTGAGAACTCATCTCTAAAAAAATTTTAAAATTTAGCCATGCATGATGGTGTATGTCTCTAGTCCCAGTTACTTAGGAGACTGAAGTGGAAAAATTACCTGAGCCCAGCAGGTTAAGGCTGCAGTAGCTGTGGTCATTGTGATCATGCCACTGCACTCCAGCCTAGACGACAAAGTGAGACGTGAAATTACAAAAAAAAAAAAAAAAAAAGCCTGGGCACAGTGGCTCAAGCCTGTAATCCCAGCACTTTGGGAGGTGGAGGCGAGAGGATTGCCTGAGCTCAGGGGTTTGAGACCAGCCTGAACCCAGCAGGTTGAGGCTGCAGTGACCTATGAGTGTCCTGCACTCTAGCCTGGGCGACAGAGTGAGACTCTGACTCACAAAAAAGAAAAAAGAAAAAAAAAGTATTTCTCCATCAACTCATTCTCCTGCAAGTATCCTGGGCAGTAAACCAATAAAATATCATTGTCCCCATTTTATTTATTTTTATTTTTTATAGACCAGCTGCATTTGAACTGTTCCCATTTCACAGGCAAAGAAAATGAGGTCAAGGGACTAGCCCAAAGTCAGAGGTTAGTTAGAGGTAGAGCCAGGACTTGAACTTGGGTCTTTGCCCCGTCTCCGGACAGTGCTCCTTCCCAGCATTTTGGAAAGCGAAGTGCTGGAGAATGGCAAGCAGGAAGGGTCAACCTTGCCTGCTCTGACTCCCCCGCGGGGTAATTCCAGCCCTCATCCTTCTGTGGCACCAGAGAAGAAGCAGGGCAGGGCCCCCACTCTGACCCTGGTTCTCATGTCTTATCTCCAACCCAGCACCAGGAAGAGCGCAGGTCAGTAAAGCACGTCCTCTTCTCAGCCTGGCCTGACCACCAGACTCCGGAGTCAGCGGGACCCCTGCTGCGCCTGGTGGCTGAGGTGGAGGACAGCCCGGAGATGGCCACCCACACAGGACCCATCGTGGTCCACTGCAGGTGCGGGCACCTACCCCCACGGCAGCCTGTGTACTGTGCACCCCTCCCCTGCCCACGGGTCTCTCCTGGGAAATGGTATGAGCAGAGCAGCATCAGGCAGGCCCAGCTCTTTCTTACTTGGACGGGATTCTCAAGGTCACTCAGCAAATGCCCTACTCTTTTTACCACCTTCGTGCAGAACCCAGACATCTGGGCTGGATGCCCAGCACAATCCAGAGAGGAGATGGAGTATCAGGAAGCTCCCATAGTGCTAGAGTAGGCCATCAAGATGATCCCCGCTGTTGGAGAACTCCTTTACTCTTCAACAAGTATCTATTGAGAACCTAATTTTTAAGAGATTTTTTTTTTTTAAAGGTCAGGTATAGTGGCTCATGTCTATAATCGCAGCATTTTGGGAGGCCACGGCAGGAGGACTGCTTGAACCCAGGACATTGAGACCACACTGAGTAACAAGCAAGCAATCCTGTCTCTATTTTAAAAAAAAAATTTTTTTTAAAAGAATATCTGGCCCAGCAGGTCGAGGTTGCAGTGACCGAGAGCGGCCACTGCAGTTTAGTCTGGGTGATAGAGTGAGACTCCAACTCAAAAAAAAAAAAAAAAAAAAAAGAATATCTGGCCCGTTGCGGTGGCTCTAGCCTGTAATCCCAGCACTTTGGGAGGCCGAGGTGAAGGGATTGCCTGAGCCCACGGGTTGGAGAACAGCCTGGGCAACTTGGCTAGACCTCATCTCTATAATAAATCAAGAAATTAGCTGGGCGTGGTAGCATGCGCCTATAGTTCCAGCTACCTGGAATGCTGAGGCAGAAGGATCATCTGAGTCCAGCAGGTTGAGCTGGGGTAGCTGGAGCAAGCCACTGTATTCCAGCCTGGGTGATGTAGTGAGACTCCAACTCAAAAAAAAAAAAAAGAATACCTATTATTGCCAGGCACAGTGTTAGATGCTAAGGAGATAGTTGTGAACAAAATAGTTTGGCTTCTTCCTTGATGGGTTTGCAGCCTGATGGGAAGAACAGCAGGTTAAACAATTAAGTGCAACACAATGTGAGCTATGACGGTGGGTAGCATGGGAGCATAGATCCAAGCCACCTAACCCAGACTTTGGCCAGAGAAGGTTCTCCAAAAGAAAGGACATCTAAGCCAAGCTAAGACCTAAAAGGTGAATTAACCAAGTGAAGAGAAGAAAGGGGAAGCATGACAGCAGACAGAACAGCATATGCAAAGGCCCAGAGAAGACATGTAAAACTGGACACACTGTTGGGAGCAGGGTGAGAGGCTGAGCCTGGAGGTCACGTGTGGGATTATGCTGAGAGATGAGTCTGGAAAGCGAGCGAAAGCCAGATGATGGGGACCCTGCAGGATGGGCTAACACACTTGGATTTGCCATGTTAAAAGAATGCTTTGGGCCAGGTGCAGTGGCTCAAGCCTGTAATCCCAGCACTTTGGGAGGCTGAGAGGAGAAGATTGCCTGAGCTCAGGAGTTCAAGACCAGCCTGGGCAACTTGGTGAGATCTTGTCTCTACAATAAACCAAAAAATAAGCCAGGCATGGTAGCGTGCACCTGTAGTTCCAGCTACTTGGAAGGCTGAGGAGGAAGGATCACCCGAGCCCAGCAGATGGAGGCTGTGGTGGCCGTGAGCGGCCACTGCACTCCAGACTGGGTGACAGAGTGAGACTCTAACTCA